TATATGCATGTATGTCATTGTATGTATGGCCACATACATTTTCTTCCAGATTCAAAGCCGATCTCTCACAAGTCATGCTTACCAAACTCCCCCTCTCTGACACTTGTTTTTATGATACGATCAAAGCAGATTTCCCAAGTTCACACTTTCCTCCACTATGTAAGATTGTGAAGGGAAACAAAAGTATGTATTAATGATATGACAACTTATAAATTAGTCTCCCATTCAAACATCTCTTTTAAACCCCGGGACCCCCTCCCTCACTACCATACCCTCCATGGTGGCAAACATTTAAAATACAATTCAAATACATTTGATTCCATTGCAAAGTAAGACTGCAAATCTCACAAAAGTGGAAGGCTTTATGGTATCAAGGAAAGTGAATTTGGTAAAGCAGCTGGCAAATGATCTATAAAGTTAAACAAAGGAAAGTAAGTTAACAGGGACAATGACTATACTGATGCTTTAGAAGAGAATACTTTGAATATCAAATAATTAATTGAGACCCTTGAGAAAACTGGTGAAACCCTCAAAAATTTTTACAAAATGACCCTCTTTTTGATTATGGTATAAAAGTCAAATGTGAAATAAAGCATGTTATAAGGTGCTTCACATTTTGTAGAAAATAATTAAGCCAACAATAATCTCCTTGATTTATTACTTATTCATTCTAATATGCACATAGTTGTACTTACAACATAAATTTTGATCAATATAGGATTGAATAAATGTATTTTAGTATCACTGCATTTTATTTTATTTATTTATTTTTTATATATTTTATTGATTTTTTTTTTACAGAGAGGAAGGGAGAGAGATAGAGAGTCAGAAACATCGATGAGAGAGAGACATCGATCAGCCGCCTCCTGCACATCCCCCACCGGGGACGTGCCCGCAACCCAGGCACATGCCCCCGACCGGAATCGAACCTGGGACCCCTCAGTCCGCAGGCCGACGCTCTATCCAATGAGCCAAACCGGTTTCGGCTGCATTTTATTTTTTTTAAGAAGTCCCCAGCAAACCTTTTTCTCACTAATTGTTCTGAAACGTGGTTCCTGCTTTAAGTAGCTTTTCTGTAAGGAGGCTTTACTAGTGCTAATCACACAGTGCTAATAAAGACTTCCTATACTAATGAGGCAGAACTTTTCTAGTAGTAACTTTCTGATGGCTTAATTATGTCTATTTACATATTAAAATTTTACTCCTTTGTTCATAAAATATCCTCCTCTTTCCATTTTTTGTGGGGAGGTAACTTACTTACACTTAGGTGTTTCCTGTAGGATCACTTCCAAAGGGTGACATTATTAAAAGTAATATTAGTGTCTCCAAAGGCAACTCATGTAGAGGACACAGACTTTGGAATCAACTCGGAGTCAGACTTACCTTTGAATCTGCTTCTGCCACTAAATAGACATATATGGTAATGAGCAAATTATGTGTCCTCTCTGAACTTGGGTATCTTCCAATTGTGAAAATGAAGCAAAATAGCTTTCTCACAAGATTGTGGTGAAGGTCAGATGTGAACGTGTGTAAATCGCCATGTACAGAGAAGGCATTCAATATGCAGCAGTTGTAGCAGTACTGTTTTTTATTTGTTTGACTGCCAAAGTTCCCTTGTGATCTTAATTTGTTGATTACTTTATACATTCAGAATCTTTGCATGTATTTTGCAATGTGAATCTAGGGTTGCTAGGCTATAAAAAGTAGCTAGACTATATTTAAAAGTAGCTAAATATGACTAATATTGAAAATGTACCTTCAGGAGTGCCTTGTTGCGTAAATCTCTTAGAATGAATTCTAAATTATCCTGTAAAGTTTTGAAAAAGTCATAATGAGGTTTTCAGAATCTACATTGTGAAATTTTGGTTAACTCTTCTGTAAGTTAGATGGTTGATATTTACATAGGGAAAACCTCAATGAAAGCCCCCCTTCTCCACACTCAAACAATTTTTATAAACAAATCTTGACTTAAAAGCAAGAAACTGTCTTTTATCACACAAAGAGACCCACGCAGAGCACAATCTTGAAAGTCAGATGCTTCTGGACTGGAACCCCTGCTCAAATGCTTCTTGGTTTTGTGACCCCAATTGACCTACATAATATTTCTAAACTGGGTATCTTCATCCATGAAGTTGAAGATAATAACACCTACCTCAGGGTTGTTGTGAGGATATCTATACTAATAAAAGAGTAATATGCTTATTAGACTGGACATCTTCCACATGTCCTTCTAAACAAAGCCACAGTGGTGGGGGCCGAGGCAGAGGCAGTTAGGGGCGATCAGACCAGCACAGAGGGCAGTTAAGGGTGATCAGGCCGGCAGGGGAGGGTAGGTTGGGGCAATCAGGCTGGCAGGCAGAGGTGGTTAGGGGTGATCAGGCAGGCAGGCAGGTGAGCAGTTAGGAGCCAGCGGTACCAGATTTCGAGAGGGATGATCCGACTGCTGGTTTAGGTCCAATCATTGGGCCTAAACCGACAGTTGGACATCCCCCAAGGGGTCCCGGATTGGAGTGTGTGCAGGCTGGGCTGAGGGACACCTCCTCCGCACCATGCATACATTTCGTGCACCGGGCCTCTAGTTTCATATAAAATGTTCATGTGTCCATATAGCCCAGCACATAAAAGGTGCTTAATAATTTATTAACTATATTTTGGTAAAATCTTCAAATACACAAGTTAACAGGTATGTCATGCTTTGTTCAAAAATGGTAAAGTGTAACAAAAATTAAGTTCAATTGAGGTTCAAACATCAAATTATAGGCTTTGGTCTTTTGCCCTTGCAGTTTCCTATATCTGTGCCTTCCTCTCCTTCCTCTATTACTTCCCCCATGAACTTCATTTCTGCCCCAATGCTTCTCAATGGCCTCCTCCCCACCCCCCGCACATAACAAAACAGTCAGAGGTGGGGGCAGTGGGGGTGCGGAGACCTTATTACACAATGGCAAGGGGATTCTACCTCCTCTCCTTCTCCAAGACTCTGGCATGTACCTCCATGGGTCCGATTAGTTCAGATATTATTCCGTTTACTTAGCTAAAGCCAGGAGGTACCAATGGTTGACATTTGGTGTTTACCTAATAGCACCAGAGACTATACACTAGGTGAGTTACAAACATTATTTTGACTCTTCATAACAACTAGGCAAGGTAGATACCACCTTCCCTATTTTTAAGATGGGTAGGCAGAGCGTCTGAGCTGGTAAGTTGCTCAAAGTCACACAACTATGGTCATGTCAGCACCAATGACCATAAGGATTAAGTTAATGCATTAATCGGGATGAGATGGCTCTAAGTGGTTTTCTGCTTCTGGGACAGGCCTGTCCTGTCTTCCAGAGAGGCCAGCGGCCCTCTCATGCTGGCGCTAACGCATATCTGTGCTATCATGCCATCTTATTCATGTATGACTTTTAACCTTTTTTTAAAAAAATATTTTTATTAATTTCAGAGAGAAGGGAGAGGGAGAGAGAGAAACATCAATGATGAGAATCATTGGTCGGCTGCCTCCTGCACGCCCCACACGGGATGGAGCCCCAACCCACGCGTGTGCCCTGAATGGGAATCCAATGGTGACCTCCTGGTTCACAGGCTCATGCTCAACCACTGAGCCACGCGGGCAGGGCACTTTTAACCTTTTTATACCATTTATCGCCCAGCACCACCAACGTGTATACATAATACTAAATGTACCAAGGTCCTCGTGCATACCAGGCATACACACAGCAATAAATGCACCGGCTATATAACGTATGTTGTAGACCTGATAAACAGAACCCCAGATATCAAAAAGTAAGTAAACGACCCTTTCCTCAACCCCAGTAATTTCTATTTAATGTCCCCTAGCAAACACTGCATTTTCAAATTTTGCTCGTTCTAGAAAGCAGAATCTTTCAAATATTGTGATGTGGAGTCCCACAGAGTCAGAAGGAGGGAAAGCTGAGAAGGGCCATTAAGGGGGATGTGTTTCTTCCATTCCGGGAAGAATTAAGTTTCTCGTCTCTGAATAAGTGCCGAATCCGACAATCATTCCAAAAGTGGAAGTTCAGCTCACAGTGCATTTGGGGGAAGCGTGAAGTGCACTAACCATTTAAGGTCAAGAAAACAATCGGTCAGTCCTAACCACCAGCGCTGTGCAGGGTTTTCACCTAAGAGACAACAGGGTCTCGGTCCGCACATCTCTTTGTTATTCGGGCTCCAGAACAAGACGGTTTCTTCTCCTGGCAGACACCTCTCCCGAAGCCTCACGGGGAGCCTCACGTTGAACCCCCCCTAGAAAGCTGCCGGCTCCCGCCTGCGCCCAGGTTCCCTCTATTCTTTTTAATGCACTTAAGGCAAATGCCCCTCCACTGGGAGAGGGACTCCCCACCTGG